TACCAATTCCCCAGGCTCCTGCTGGATTAGCGGGCCCTGTCCGAGGGGTTGGGGGCCCATCCCAACAGGTGAGGAACTAGGAGGTTTTATATTATTGAGAGAAAGTGCCTAGAGGCAGAGTAGGTTTAAAAGCCTGAGTGCAAATCTTATACTATGTAAGCAGTATATGCTAATGAGGGTGCTTAAGGACAAATACACATTAAGAGGGGAAAAGATTAAAGAAAGCCACCTTGCTAAGAGTAATACAACACTTTTGGTGAGTAAAGAGAAATATGGTTGGGTAAACCAGAATTGCGAAAATGTAAAGGGACTTAATAGATTAAAATAGGGCATGTTGGATTTAAAGGGGGAGGTTTTAGTGTGCCATGATTTTTTAAATGAAAACAATGGAAGAAGTAAAAAATTGCTATAATTATTTCATATTTAATAAGCTGTGGTATTCACCATTTATTTTGTATTTGAATAATGAGAGGATGTGCCTTACCTTTACTATATCTGACCATGCCTTCTCAGGTAATGACTCCACAGGGAAGAGGCACTGTAGCAGCTGCTGCAGTTGCTGCTACTGCTAGCATTGCTGGAGCCCCAACTCAGTACCCCCCAGGACGGGGGACCCCACCCACTCCTGTGGGCCGAGCAACACCACCTCCAGGTAGGGAATCCATAAAGAAGTAAGATAATTTCGTTCTCAGGTATATATAGGTGTTGTTCTGTGAAAAGATTGTATCATCTTTAGAAGTGATAACTAAAAATACTATAAGAAGATACTGAACAAAGAACCTCACTAGTTGCTTGGAATATATTTTCTTTTAAACAAAGGTCTTCAATGAAAAGCTTTGGAATCTTTAGTTGAGGATGGCTTGTATGATAATGGTCCAGAGAATTGTTTAACTCTCTACTTAATATCTGGGTCCATTTCTTTAAGTATTATTTTGTATTTTTTTGGTGTATTATTAGCTGAGCTAATTTATGAGGTCTTTATTTCTGCCATTTTTCTTTTCTAGGCATTATGGCTCCTCCACCTGGAATGAGACCACCCATGGGCCCACCAATTGGGCTTCCCCCTGCTCGAGGGACGCCAATAGGCATGCCCCCTCCAGGAATGAGGCCTCCTCCACCAGGAATTAGAGGTGAGTGGTTACACTTCTGCACAGTGGTGTCAGCCAGGCCCTTGAATATTTGTATGATGTTTTCCTAACGGTTCCATGGAATTTTGCTTTTTTTTCCAGGTCCACCTCCCCCCGGAATGCGTCCACCAAGACCCTAGGATACTTACTGTTGATCCTTCTTACATCACTTTTTTCCCTGCAATGTGTCTTGTGAAACTGTGTAGAGTGTTTGTGAGCCTTTGTTCCCTCTTTGCTGCATTAATATTAGCTAATAAAATGCACAGAGCAATTAAACTGCAAGGTACTGCTGTATGTTGTATATTTTTTTTGCCTATTGACTTTGTTGAGGTCAGAGTAAAGACTGGGATTTTTCTGGTCTTGAAGTTACTATGTATGGGTGAGGTGAATTCTGTTAAGCAATGCATTTAAATAATTTTCTCTTTAATTCTTAATATAAATGGTTGTGATACCTGATTAAGCTTCCTAACTTTCACTTTGTGCATTGACTGATATCAGTCAGTAACCTTGACACAAGAAAACTCTTGACCAGGGTTTACGTGACTGGGCTAAGACTTAACACATGGCCTCCTCGACTTTATTGTGCCATAGATACCTGAAGGGAAGAAGGGATGGGATGAAATGCCTTTTAAGGCCATCTATGGAAGGAATATGTGATACTAAATCAGACTTTGTTCATTAAATCAAAGCATTTGGAATTGGAGATACTACTTTTTTTGGAAGTTTACCTCAGTTGATCACCTTTTATAGTATTTTTTGCCTTGTGTGATCAGAGTAGATGATGTGATCCTGGATTAATCATCAGTACCTACCAGTAAGTATGTACTTATGGGTTTTTAAATGAATGGAGGAACCTGGGTACTGGGAACTAGAGGAGATTTCATATTTGAGATAAGTGGAGTTACTTGCAAAATACAGGTAACTTATACCCTAAAATGATCGTTGACACTATTGAGTACAAATTATATCTAACTGCATCACTTAGTGATATACTGGAAGTGTTTAGAAGAGTGGACAGCCGCTTCCAGTTAGATAATTAAGGGATGCCTACATATGTAGGTCCAGTTTGAGTTGGTTATACAACAGTGAAGTCACTTTTAAAAGGAAGAGGAAGGAGGTTTTTAGGTTTTATGCTAAGTTTTCAACAAGGTAATGAGTCAGTCCTTATTGATTATAGCTTATAAAATACTAGTTAAAGATTGATACTAACTCCTTTAAAACTTAAGACTGGGGGCACCTGGGTGGCTCAGTTGGTTAAGTGGTTAAGTGCATGACTTAGGCTCAAGTCATGATCTCACAGTTGGTGGGTTCGAGCTCCACCTCCAGCTCTGTGCTGACAGCTCAGAGCCTGGATCTTGCTTCAGATTCTGTGTCTCCCTCTCTTTCTCTTCCCCTCCCTTGATCATCTCTGTCTCTGTCTCTCTCTCTGTCTCGTAAAAATAAATTGAAAATGTTAAAAAACATTTTTTAAATAAAAAAAAACTTAGAATGGTAAATTGATTTTACCAAAAGAGGTTGTAGGTATGTCACCATTTTCATCTTTGATTTTTTTATTTTTTTAAGGATTTTATTTTTATGTAGTCTCTACACCCAATGCAGGGCTCCAAATCATGACTGATCTCAAGAGTCCTGTGCTCTACCAAGTAAGCCAGCCAGGGATCCTTCCATTTCCGTCTATTAAATCATGATCTTTCAACTAATAGTCTCCCAAGGAAAAGGAACTCTCACAATTATTGCAATTAATTTCATCAAATTTATATGGTCTCTCCCAGAGTAGATTTTAGTACACTATCAGGTAGGGAATATAAAGTAGCCAGGTCTTCCTTGGTTTGGGAGATATTTACAATACAAATATGATACTTAAGAGATTGTGAATGTTACAAAGACATTTCTTAGTTACAGAGCCCCAGGCAAGGTACTTTATCTGGATCTCTGGATGCAAAGCCATTCTGTTAAGGTTAAATTGACTGATATAGATGACAGATAACTTTTACTCTAAGAGTTTTGTGGGTGGTATGAAAAGAGCCTTGTTTTCTTTGCATTTGGCTCTCTGGACCAATTTTTGAATAATTTGTGGTACTTAGTCTCTGTTTTGGAGGAAAACTTCCTTATTTCTATAGATCTGCTGACATGAATGGCCCTTAGATTTTTGGAATGAGTGATTGTGCACCATATGCAGAGAAAACCTGTTCTCTAATATCTTCTAAAGTAATGATGATGGCCCCTTTTGCAAGCTAGAGGTGAGTGAAAAGAACTTTAGATTTTGCAAGATGATTAGTTCTAAAGGTTGTTTTGATTTGGTGATAATGCTTTCTGCCTAGAACTTCCTTGAATTATTTGATAACTTTGATTGTGGAACATAAATTGAAAAAATACTTGGCACAGATATGCATATAAATTGCATGCTAAGTGTAAGATAAAAGTGGATCTATTTCTGTGGATTGCTAGATCTAAGCTTCTACCCAGAGTTCCATTGGGAACACATAATACCATAAAAGTTTTCAAACATCCAGGGCAGTAAATACTTGTCCCTTTGGATTTTTCCTCCATTGTGCATTCAGATGAATTGTACGTTATATCTAAAACATAGTTGGGCAGTGACTTCTTGATTCCCTGGTCACATTCATTGCATATCAATGTATGCATTGCATATCAATATATGTTTTCATTGTGGTTTAAGTAATAGTTTCAAATAGAATTCTGGGATTTAATAGTGCTTCCTTAAATCTTTGCTTTTAAGTTATTTATGGTATTTTGTGTTTATGCTTTGATAGGTAAACTGAACTTAGTATAAAAGTGTAAAAAGTAATGTTGCTTCTTCCTGCTTTTGTAAATTCATTGCTCTTTAATCATGTCAAATTTTAGAAGTAAATTTTTGTCAGCTTCATCAATATATAATTGATAAATAATATAATTTTAAGATATACTACATGATGATTTGCTATACATCTACATTGTGAAAAGATTAAAACAATAAGATTAGTTAACACATCCATCACTTTACATAGCTAACATTTCTTTTTTGTGTGTCTGTGTGGTGAGAACATTTAAGATCTACTCTTGGCAAATTTCAAATATTATAACACAGTGTTGTTAACAATGGTCCCCATGTTGTAAATTTGATCCCTAGAACTTACCCATCTTAATAATTAAAAGTCTTTGATCAGTATCTCCCCAATTTCTACACTAGTAAGCCCCTGGTAACCACCATTATATTCTGTTTCTAGGAGTTTAACTTTCTCAGGTTTCACATACAGAAGATAGCAGAAGTCTTGTAATTTTTGTAAACCTGTTTTATTTTTTGTAGGTCTTACCTTTTAGTAGAATAATATTAGTAATTTATGGAATTATGTGATAATAGTAATACTTGTCAAGAAATTTCATAATCTGATTTCAAAAATTAGGAAAAACACTATTGTCTTCATTTAGAATAAAACTTAATTGACTTGATCTATTAGAGCATATAAAGTTTTAAAACACATGTGACCCAGTTGATAATATATTGCCAGATTCTTACTCTTCTTTGCATTCCAGTACCCTGGGGACTGGCTATTCATTTAATAAATCTCAATATTTGAATTATATTAAATAAGTAAAGCAAGTCATGTTATCATGGGTTTTTTATATTGCAGTTTTTTCAGTCTTATGAAGTGCCTTTTTTCCCACACAGTTGATGACTCAGGAGGAGAGAACTTAACCACTCAATTTTCTGACATGTCACTGTGGATCCTACCTGCTAGTTTCTCAAGGAAGCTGAAAACCATATTAGTTACACTTAGGACAAACGTAAACCACTTCAGGTAAACTAACTTTTTAAAGAAAATTAATCGTGCATTATAGAGGCCTTGGCTAGGTTCATGATGACACAGGACCTTGTCTGAACATAATGATTTTAAAACTTGAGCTTAAATGACACTCTGAAATCTCGTCAATGTGCCTCAGTAGACTTTTTTAGAGAACATTAGTTTCAACAGAAAATGTTGGCTTACTGTGAGAACTTTGAATACTTAGAAGTGAGAGGTGTAGCAGTATACTTTGCCAGTACCTCAGATAATCCTCTTTTAAAAAATATTCATACATATTCTGAGCTCATTATTTTTCCCTTTTTTTAAAACATACATATGCTGTTGAAAGCAAAAAAGGAAGCTCATCCTTATATCTCAGAAGGCACATGCATATGCTGAGTGGAAGCAAGGACATGTAAAAGGGAGACTACTACTCATTGGATCACACATTGAGTGCCAGAGTCAGAGATAATCTAAGTGATGATGTCCAGGAAAATGGGGAACTAATATTTATGGAAAATATATTATGAAATACAGTGAGTATGGTAAGTGTCTTCAAATAGACACCATTGATTTTGAGGACAGTTTATGTTGTTTTAGTTTTTGTTCATTTGTCTGCAGTAATCCATGTATATAGAGCCTGTTACACAGTAGATGTTTAAGAAATGTCAGCATTACTATTTATTTTTTAATGTTAGGATGCAAGTTTTTAGATTCATTATAGTTCCTTCCATATAGTGTAATGTATGTGATTACAATCTAGGCCAATCTAATATCTAGCTAATATTAGCTTTTCCTAAATAGGAGCCAGTCAAAACTATTTGCTGTTTATTAGGACTTGTTTTAGTGAAGCTGGGTACCTTGTCATGAAGTTTACCTGTTAGTTATTTTTGGTAAAAAATGGAAATTAAAAAAAAGTTCTGTTTGATTTTACAGGGGTAAGAAGATCTCTTCTTAGTGAAATGATAAAGGCCCAATAAGAGAGCAGTATTTGAAATCCAGTCCCAAGGATATGTTTGTTCTATATGTGAATGTTGATTTACAGCTTCAGGTGTTAATGCAGCAAACCCATCTCTGCCAAAAGTGAGTAGACAATATAGGACAGCTATAGTATACTTCATTCAGCTTCTAAAATGATAAATGAAGAAACCTCAAGGGACTTTTTCCTTGTACTAAAAGGGATGTTGCATCTTGGTCCTGTTATCCTCTGGTGAAAGGAATGCAGACTAGAATAAACAGGTCCATTAGTTTGTTCTGCATTCAGTATCACCTTACTTGTTTCTGTAACCTGTATTGCTAACATCATGTGTTTTCTTGTTGTTGTTGTTTTTAATTTATTGTCAAGTTAGTTAACATACAGTGTATACAGTGTATAGTGTATACCATGTCATCTTGGCTTTGGAAATAGATTCCTGTGACTCATCACTTACATACAATACCCAGTGCTCATCCCAACAAGTGCCCTCTTCAGTGCCCATCACCCATTATCCCCGCCCCCCAACCCCCCACCCCCATCAACCCTTAGCTTGTTTTCTGCAAATAAGAGTCTCTTATGGTTTGCTTTTTGCCTATAATTTAGGAAGTTCTAATGTGGAATAGAAATGATTAGTAGAAGAAGACTAGACTGGGTTAATTTTCTTTGGGGAGTAAGATTAATGTTAAAAAGTCGATGAGCTAGCTAGAACTCAAGAAAAAGCCTCTTAGAGCAACCAGATGTTTAACTTTGAATTTTTTCAGTTTGTTAGATGATTTGGTTATAGAAGTGGATTAGAAGCTATTATATTTAGTTCTAAGACACTGAAGATCTTGATATAATTCTGGCACATGGCTAGGGTTTTATGATCTTTAATTTTCCCGATATTTTCACCTTAATTCTAGGTCAGTTGAATTATATTGCTGTCATTTACTGACATTGTTACATAAAGATGATCATAATTGTCCTAAGCGAAAAGAAACTCCATAAGTAGAAATGTACTCTCTGAAGGTATTTCCTTCACAGACTTGTAGTAGTTGTTGGGAAAGACCTTGACTGGATTTATGATGAGTTATGTTTACTGAGTATGATGAAGTGAATCTCAGTGTGAGTACTCTGAAGTCCAGCCTAAGTGTCATCCCAAAGACTTAGGACATAAATTTTCTGAGCATACACTTACACTATAAATTTTGCAAGATATTTTGAGCAATATTGTGCATATTAGGGGAATGGAACTGTAAGTTTTTCCAGTGAACTAAAGAGAGGTGGATTTTAAATTCCTCTACTGCAGTTTCCTTTTGTAGAGTATCTTCTGTGTTTGTAGCATTTGTAAATTTATCTCAACTTTGTCTTTTTCATTATGAATTTCAAGTGATATATTCAAGAGACTAAAAACATAGTAGCTACTATGTTGTTTTCTTTATATTACATACAACTATAATCATTCAGTTCCAACCTCATACCTGTTTTGTGAGAGCATGTCCCCAAAGGCAGCTCCAAGTACAACATGAATAAGAAAATGAGTTTGTTGTTGAGATATTTATTTGGTCTAAAATAAGTCATGTTTTAAGCAGAATGCTAAAGATACATTCAGATGGATTACTTTAGTTAATTTTATTTCTGTATGCACTTTATTTTTTATTTAAATATTTTTTAAATGTTTTTTTATTTTTTTCTAGGAGAGAGAGAGAGAGACAGCGTGAGCAGGGGAGGGTCAGAGAGAGAGGGAGTCACAGACTCTGAAACAGGCTCCAGGCTCTGAGCTGGCAGTCAGCACAGAGCCCGACGCGGGGCTCGAACCTACGAACCGCAAGATCATGACCTAAGCGAAAGTCGGAAGCTTAACTGACTAAGCCACCCAGGCGCCCCTGCACTTTATTTTTTAAAAGTAATTAAGTTATTTTTAAATTTACATCCAAGTTAGTTAGTGTATAGTGTGCAACAATGATTTCAGGAGTAGATTGCTTAATGCCCCTTACCCATTTAACCCATCCCCCCTCTAAGAACCTCTCCAGTAACCCTCTGTTTATTCTCTATATTTAAGAGTCTCTTATGTTTTGCCCCCTTTCTGTTTTTATATT